TTCTAGCTGATTTAAGCATTTTCCTGCCTCTTTTGCTGCTCTAACTGCCAACCTCTTCCAACTGCTAGGTGAGAAAGGAGATAGAAAAAACAAGGGGTCATTGTTATGTTGAGGTGTGCTTCTTGGGGAGAGGGGGTCTGTGCAAAAGCTGTGGCAGCTGGGAAGCAGAACAGGCAGGTGGCAGGCACAAGAAGCAACACCGAGGCTTGTTTCTTATTCTTACAGACACATCGCTTTGTATACCCCCAGCATCGCACAGTCTCAATGGATGTCCATGTTGATGTTCCTAGAGCAGGATTTACAAGCCTCAAGGGAACACTGACCGATAGGCAGGCATTTTAACAGTATTTCCAGCACTCTCGCTCCTGAGACGTGAGTTCACAGATACTTACTGTAGTATGTTATATAATTTCTATATATAAATATTATATAGATACTTTCGTATAGATCTAATGATACAGAATTTGATATACAAACTTTAGGATCAGCCTAATGTAGCTTTTAAAAAAAAATTCTGTGTGTGTGTTTGTGTGTGGATGTGTGGATGTGGGTGTGGGTGTGTGATGTTGCTAGGATACCCATGAAATCCAGATGAGAATATCTGATCCCCTGGAGCTGGAGTTACAGGCAGTTGTGAGCTGCCTGATGAGGGTGCTGGGTACTGAACTGGGGTCATATGCAAGAGCAGTGTGTGTTTTGTATGTTTTGTTCATTCATTCATTTACTTATTTTGCAGTACAAATACAGTGAGAAAAAGGCAAGAGCAGAGAGCAAACTGGGATGAGAGATGCCAGACAAAGCCAGCTGAGAAAGTTCTTGTCTATATACTAAACAAAGAAGCTGGGGGTGTAGATCAGTTGGCAGAGAGATTGCCTAGAATTCATAAAGTCATGGGTTCAGTCTCCAGCAATCTAGCACTGCATGAGCCTGGAGGAGTCAGTCGTGCAAGCCTGCAAATCAAGCACTTGGGAAACGAAAGTGGTGCAGGGGGGGGGGGGAGGTCAGAAGCTCAAAATCATCCTTGCATATATAAGGTGTTTGAGGTCAGCCTGGGCTATGTGAGACCATGTTTCAGGGGGGAAAAAGTGGCTAAACAAGGAAGGAAAAGACCTGAGAGGGAGAAAGGCCCAGTGTCTGGAGAGAGCAGAGAGAAAATGCAGTCTCATTCAAAACAGAAACAGATAGAATAATTCACAAACTCTAGGGCTGGCAAAGGGTAGAGGTACTTGTATACCTGTGGGATTACCTGAGTCTGAGCCCCAGATCCCACGAGGTGGCTGTAAAGCACTGATGCCTGAAATGTTTCCTCTAATCGCCCCCTGTACTCATACACATACCCACACAGTACAGAAAATAAAACCTAAAGAGAATTCACAAACCCCCTACACAGGTAAGCACAATGAGGCTGAGTTCACACAGAACTGACATTTAGGGCTCACCCACCAGGTCCTTTAAACATTAGATGTAGTGGCACTGAGTGTCAGGGATCGCCATCATGGGTCATTGCTAAGTGGCTCCTTTATTTTAGCATTCTCAACAGCAGGGCCAGGGCAGTCATTGCTAGACAGCCTGCTGCAGTGCAGGAGTATATAAGATCCAGCTCTACCTCCTAGGACTCTCTGACCAGGCAAGAAACAGAAGAGAGGCACCAAGCAAAACATTTGGCATCGTAGGTCTGCATTGGTAGGCAAACCTCGGACCTATACAGGCAGGCACATGCGTGCAAGTGTGTGTGAACGTGAAAACCTTCAAGCACACTTGCAAACCCGGTCCCACTGTACCCAAAAGTTTTACCAGGAGAGCTTGCCACCACCCCACATGGCCCTCAATGACCCTATAGGCAAATACAGTTGGCTCTTGTTCTGATCATTCTTCCAATATTTCTTTTTGCTGAAGAGTCACTAACAGCACTGCCAGGTAGCCCCCAAACACACTCGCAAATTAGCAGGCTTTAACTCCAGTTTTCTGTGGCCCTCTTTGTTAACACTGCTTCTCTTTGTTTCCAGAGTCTAAGTCTAGATTGATAGTTTTGATGCTTTTTCAGGAATAATCCCTAAATCTTCTTCTTGATCTGTGTGCTAGAGGATTATCTGCTGCCCAGACACATCACAGGCCTGGCCTCCTTGCTCTGCAATTAATTCTTAGTTTGTCTACAATAAATTACACTTGCCATCTGCTGATAAAATCGCAAACATCCAAAAAAGCCTTTTCCATGGCTTTCACTGTGTATCTGTGGTCTGTTCTACCTCCTCTCTGCTCAATCAGTTACAAAATAGGAGGTTTGGTTTCTAATTCCTCCCCTCAGTTTGCTCTGTAGTGGAGTTTATATGTGAAAGTTTCCTACAGAATATGTATATGGAACTTCACAAAGGAACTTTGAAGGTGCAAGACAATGTCTAGATAGTAAAGCTTCCATGAAAGGATAAGCGGTTCCAGGCCAACCAGGGCTACATAGCTAGACCATGTATCAAAAATGCCAAAATATATCAAGGTCAGCCTGGCTTACATAGTGAGTTTCAGGTCTGTCAGAGCAACATAGTAAGACCCTGTCTCAAAAATGGAGATGGAGCTGGGCAGTGGTGGTGCACACCTTTAATCCCAGAACTGGGGAGGCAGAGGCAGGAGGATCTCTGTGAGTTCGAGGCCAGCCTGGTCTACAAGAGCTAGTTCCAGGACAGGCTTCAAAGAGAAACCCTCTCTTGAAAAAAAAATGGGGATGGGGATAATGATAATAGTAATAATAATAATAGGAATAAGTAAGAAATGCATTGGGTGATTTTTAAACAACTCCACTGCAAGTTATAAAATAATTAGTTTTAAAAGCGATGCACTTTTTTTTATAAAAAAAAAAGGTAATATTAATTAGAACAGATCCTTACAAATCTACTAGGTATTGGGACATTGAGACGTCTCATCTGGTAAAGGCACTTTGATCACCAGAACCTACATGGTGAGGAATTAAATACTATAAACTTGGAGAGTAGCAACAGAAATTCCTTACCCCCTATTCTGGAGGCTGGAAGTTCAAGATCAAGGTTATGGCAGAGTTACTTTCTCATGTGGATTTTTTTCTTCAACTTGTGGGCTCATACGGTCTTCCCTCTGTTTTGTCTTTTTCCTTTTGTTTTGTTTTGGGGGGTGTGGTCTTGGTTTGGTTTGGTACTTTGAGATAAGGTCTCATTATGTATTTCTTGCTCCCTAAGAACTCCGAGAAATCCACCTGCCTCTGCCTCCCAAAGGCCGAGATTAAAATTGTGCACTAAAGAACCCATCCCACGTTCTTCCTTCTGTATGAGTCTATCATAACCTCTTCTTACAGGAACACCATTCGTATTGGATTAGGACCCCTACCCTAATGATCCCACTTAACCTTAATTAGCCCTTCAACAATCCCATCTCCAGTCAGAGTCACCAGAAATGCTGAGGAGTAGGACTGACACTCAGGAATCTGGGAGGCTTTAATTCAGCCCAGAACAATATTATTTTTTATTTACTTACTTATTTGTTTGTTTCTTTTTTATTTAAGACAATGTTTTATCTAGCTTAAGCTAGTCTAGAATTCAATATATAACTAAAGCTGGTCTTGAACTTTTGATCTTCTGCCAGGATTGGGGTAAGAACTAGAATGGAATCCCCAGAGCCACTGTGGATAGCCTTCGACTTTGAAAATAGAAAGTAGTAAGCTAATGAATTATTCTTTACCTACCTTGATGGATTTAAGAAAATTGGGGCGGGGAAGATAACTTTACCAGTGAAGTGCTTGTCACATAAGCGTGATGACTTGAGTTTGAACCCCAGCCCCTATGGAAAATTTGGTCATAGCTATATGTGCCTATAATCTCAGAGCTGAGCAGGTGAGACAGGAGGATCCCTGGAGCTTGCTGGCCCACCAGCCTTACCGAATGGATGAGTTAGAGGTTGAGCGAGAGATGCTATATTAAAAACGGAGGTGGAGAATGACTGAGGAAGATCCCAGTGTCAACCTCTGGTCGCCACACATGTGTATATGCTCAAACACACACACAACATTACAGGAGTCACACACTTATCAGGAAGAAGAAGACAATGTGTAGATGAAGAAAGCAGAAAACACAGAAACCAGTAAAACCCGTCTATTCCGTTTTTACTAGGAGTTTTGCTGTTAACCTCTATTTCTGTGACTGTTAAGCACAAATTCACATACAGACACCCCAGACACTCTCAGGATATGTAAAGAATTCTTAAAAGGTATAACACACTGCTTTCAGTGTCTTGTAATCTCAGGTCCTAGTGTTGTACTATTTTATATTTTCAAGGCGCTTCAAAATTTTAAGATTGCAAAAATCACCATCCGGGTTATGCATGTTCACACTGAAAACCTTATGAGCTTAAATATTACTGAATTTAGCAGTCTGTGGCTCCGTTAATACTTTTTAAGAGAGTGTGATTATTAAGACTCCTTAAAAAGAAGTGTTTTGTTTAAAAAATGTATCCGTGTTTTATTAAACATTCAGTCTTCTCTAGCAGAGATCAGAGAAGGAGGCAATATCTGATTCCCCGCATTTACACACCCACTTCAACAGGTTTTATTGTTTCTTCCAACTTAACAGCTCAAAACAACTGTACATAATGGATATTTCTATTATTTTAATGTGAATTACCCGTTTCCTCAGTGTGTTATTGAAGTACCTCACACTAAGATTTGATTTGAGCTATCAAAGTGTGGCTGGATCTTTTTGGATATACTCTTGGCCTTGGTACAAATAAGGAAAAGAGTCCTGGGCTGGTGAGAACTGACTCCTGAAGGTTGTATTATATTTGTATTGCATTTATTGTTTATTTAGAGGGGATATGGCGGAGGCTAGAGGACAACTTGCAGGACTCATTCCTCCCCTTCCACCTTGTGGGTCCTGGGGATTGAACTCAGGTTGTGAGCCTTAGGGATAAGGGCTTTAGCCCACTGAGCCATCCCTAAAGCCCTACTATTCTTATGGCATCCACTTCTTTTTCTTTCCCAACAGGCTTTAACTTACTTGCAAATTCTTCAAGTGTTCGCCATCAGATACTCTCAGAAGTGGGCAGTGGGGCACACGGAGCCACAACAAGGAGCCACATGTTGACCAGGAGCTTGCAAGAACAAGAATCCAGAAATACCGTTCTGATCTTGGGTCCTTTCTCAGCAGACGTTTTGCTTCAGAGGCAACTGGGAGCCCCAGAAGAAAAACACCGCAGGCAACAGCCAGCCTCCCACCCCCACGGTTTCTCCAGCCCTGCCTAACGAGTCACAGTAATGTTTGCGATTAGCGAGGCAGCCTCTTGGCGGAGAGCGCAGAGCGCGCGCACGGTGTGTTCCCTCATTAATGCAAGCCGACTCCTGTGGAGGAGGTGGGTGGCAGGCAATTTCAAATCCTTTTCTTCTCCACCTACCGAAGAGATTTAGCTCTCAATAGCTCACACGAATGAGTGAACCATTTCGGTTATAAGATTATGATTTGCTCATCACCCCCCATTAACACCATTAAAGCAACCTTTGTCCTTTTTAAAATCTGTGCAGTCAAGTGCGCACAGCTAGAGAAAAGGAGCATAAAGACTGCCCAGGACAGTCTGCGGGTGAGACCGGGGGTTAGACAGGAGTTCCTTTGTCTGGCCTTGGAAAACTCCCATAGGACAAATAGGATTAAAAGGGACACTTTCCCTTCTCTGCAGCCTTATAAATCTCACCCCATTTCACAACCTTCTTGCCCTGCCACACAACCCTCCAGACCTCTGCCCCGGTGTTATGGCAGATGTCCACAGATCCCTGTGTCTCTGTGTCTTCTACCCCAAAAGGGCATAGATTGATTATAACCATTGTTATAATTGTTAGAGAGTGGATGAACAGACCAGAAGCCAAAGCCACAGGGTTGGCTTGTAGCTCAATGATGAGTGCTTGCTTAGTGTGAGTGAGACCCTGGGGGCCATCCCTTGCGAGATACACACACACACACACACACACACACACACACACATATATATATATATATAAAATCAAGTTACCAAATTAGGAGTGTAACTGGGGTTTCTATGGCAGAAGCCTAGGCTCCAGGAATCCTGAATTACTAGGCTTGGTCACTGGTGCCCAGAATGCTGATCACAGTGAAAAGTGGTGGCGAAAGCAGAGAGGAAAGCTACCTAAAGCAGCCACCCTGGAGAGAAGAACAAAGAAGTCCAGTGACCCCCCCCCCCCAGGTCTGACTTGGGTTACCGGTATGGGGTTTAACTTCAGACAGAGGGAAAACTGGGCCAGGGCTTGAGGTGTACATGATTAGCAGTCCTGGCCAAGTTGTGGTGGCTCTAGTGGACAGTGTCTCAGTTCTGGTTCTCCAAGAAGGTCTATTTCTGTCATCATGGGAGGGGATAAATCTGACTCTCAGGAGACAGTCGCCCCAGGCGGCAGCCTCACCACTGTGGATGATGGACCAAATCTTTCCCGAGAGGTTCTGCTATCCCCCTTGGACTGCAGCTTTAGTCCCATGACTTAACTCTGTGTCTTCAGACTTGAAGAGAGGTGAAATGGGTTAAGCAGACACAGCTCGTGTGCAGAGATAAGCAGATACCCCGCCCCCAAAGTAAAAGAAACACACACAAAATGAAGTCAGAGGTGTCCATATTTCCTCCTACTTTTAGTTACCTACTGGCTTTCTTTTAGCAAAAGCAGCTTCTAAGTGCCCATTGCAGGAGCGAACCCAGCTCCCCTGTCTCTGTGTCCATGCTGGTCTTTCGGAGCCACTGCCACGACAGCCCACTAGAACCACCCTTAGAGCAGCATCACCGGTTTGTTGGTCTGCTTTGAATTCTCTATCATTCTGGGGCTCCTCTCTGTAGTATAACTTGCTGATGGACAATGGAAGTTCATCACTGGGAACATAGAAAGGAAGACAAGAACCAGCATTTATAAAGCACCTGCTATGTGCTGGGTGCCCTGCCCTGCCCTGCTAAGCACCACACATGAGCACTGATACTCATTTGATTGGCATCGTGACTTAGAAAGGAGGTGCTAACATCCACACTTGGTGTTGCCCTCACTTAAGCCCCAGGAACTCAACACAGGGATGTTCCATTGTCCCCTTTAAGTCATGCCTCTTCTCCACAGTGCCACTAAGGCTTCTAGATGGTCTTCTGTAGCTGCATTGCTTGGACCCCTGCCTGGCTCCATCAAGACAGAAAGGGAGCCCTAGGTTATCAGCAGGCTCACCTGATTCTGTCTTAGCAGAATTGCTGGTGCTAAAATCCTACTGGCTACTGGACTCAAACAGCCCCACACACTCTCACTGCAGGACAGAGAAATTTATGAAAGCAGATGAACACTTTAGTAGGTAGCTGTGGCTCTGCCAGGGTAGTAGAAGTGTGAAGGTTGAAAGCTAAGCCATTTTTTGCTTTGGCTTTGTTGTTTTGGCTTTTTAAGATGGAGTCTCATGCAGCCAAGGATGGCTAAGAGCTCACTATACGGCCAAACACGGTTTTAAACTCATGGTCTTCCTATTCCCACCTCCTGAGTATTGGAGTTACAGGGGTGTACACGGTCACACCCTGCTAAACAGTTCTTTCTGTCTTTGAGAGCTGAAGGCCGTCTCTTTAATGATGTCACAAAACCACACTTTAGAACATGCCACACCTGATTCTCGTTGGCTTTCTGTGTTGGACACTTAAATGACTTCTCATCAACTATTTTTTTCCCACACACTTTTGTGTAGTGCTCAGAGTCCTGAAGCAGGGAGGCAAATGGTGTGGTTCCAGGTTCTTTTAATAAAAAGTGGATTTTGATGAACAGAACAAGAAAGCTAGCGAGTGCTTTGGGGTTGCAAGGGAAATGGCCATTTCCTGCCAAGGAGCTACAAAGAGACTAAAAGGGGATTTAAGTTTCAACGGGTCCTTCTGAATTGATTTTTATTTCCCAGTGGGTTGAGAAGGAATAGGCTGGAGTCTCAGGCAGTAAAGGCTCAGGGAGGGGAACATACAGCACACAGGCTGATGTGTAAGATAAAGGGCCAAGGGAAAAGATCAGAAAAATTTATGGGATTTTAACAGCATGGGAGGGTTGTGGGTGGTATGCCTGGAGCCGTAGACATTCCCTGGATCTCCTGGAGTCCCTCGCGCAGGGTCTCAGTACAGGCTGCCATAGCAGGTTGGGTAGCCCACAGTATCCCTCCCTATGGACAGCAGTTACCACTGGATTATCTGAGGACGTTTTCCCCCTCCTCCCTTTGGAAATCTCTCATCTGCATGAACATATTTATTTTCCTTTTATCCTGGGGTTTGTAATCAAACATGAATTTAATCTGCCTAAACACATATATCAAAGAAGCAAAGTTTCTATTTTATCCGAAGAAGCTAGGCAGAAGTCAGGCATTCACACTCCCTCAGCTGCCGGGGTGTTCTTTTTTCCTGCTGGAAACAAATGTTCTGGCTAATTACTGAAACTTCAGGACAAAGATCAGGGCACAGAGCCCAGCTCCACACTGTAGCTCGGATCCGTCATGTTGAGTTTGACTATGCTGCCATTACACCGCCCCTGCCGTGATTAAAGCCTAGCTTGCCTCCTACTTGCTGGGTGCTTTAGCCAAGTTATTTAGCCTCTCTGTTCTCAAAATTGTTCATGAAGTAGGAAACAGAATATTTTATATGTTCCTTCCTTGGACCAATATTGATCAAGACACTTCTGAGAATCAGAAACTGTACCAGTCATGACCTCAGTAAACACGGCTTATCCACTTACAAAGACAAGAGGAGGGTCCCTCCCTGCTGTCTAGGTCTCATGGGAACTTCTGCTGGGGGACAAGAGACAGCAATAGCTTTACCCAGCATGCTGCAATGCCAACATGCCAGGCAAAATCTGCCTACTGGTAGAGTAATGGCATAATGGTTCTGGGGATAACCAACCACTTTCTACTTGGATCTGAAACCTGTTTCACAAGAGGGAATTTGTGTCTAGCAATGTGAACCTGGTCAAAAACTCATAACTGGGAGGTCACAGGCTCTATCGAGGAATGGTCATAATATCAAACTGCCTTCTAAATATATTTTTCTAGCTATAGAGTAATGGTGTTTTCAACCTTGGTCAGAGATATTGTTGCAGGGGACATAGTTAATATAGAAATTCATTTCTGGTCAAAGTGCTGAAAACTGAGATTGTGTGAGTGTGTGAGTTCATCCCTAAATGCGACACCTATATCACACACACACATACACACACATACACACACACATTCAGGAAACATTACAGAAGAGGCAGAAAAATATATGCGTCAGAAGACGAGGGGATGATGCGAAGTCTGTCTTCTGGGCATGATCGGCTGTTGCACTCGAGAACTCGTATCAGATATGGCTACCTGGTCAAAACTCCAGCACAGATGGAGATGGGATTCATAAGGCCCCACCCCACCTGAGAGGCCATTGGCAGTTGATGGCTACTGAGAGAGGGTCATTTTTCCTTGAGTGTGTATGGCCACTGGTAGATTGTCACTGGCTTCAGGGTGGTGCCATATCTATGCACATATGGCTGTGTACGGTAGACTTACTGGAAGAGGAGGAGGAGAAGTGATGGGATGATGAAGGGGAGTCCAAAGGGAGCTGGAGGGAGAGTTGGGACGGCTAAGATCAGAACACACAAATTCAAATAGTTTTTTTTTTTTAAGTAAAAAAGGCAGGGAAAGAAATGAAAGACCAGAAATTGCATCCCCACTGTGTGTGTGTGTGTGTGTGTGTGGAGATGTCTTCTGGGACTTCACATATGTTTGTAGATATAAGTATGACTCCTGCCAGGCAGGGATTTGCCACATTCTGCAGTAAAGCAGCCAAGGAACACCCACAGTAACTTGACGGTGGCATTCAGCTATTGAATGGCAGAACCATGCTGTGAGCTGTTCAGATGGTGGGAACCCAGGGCTCATGTAATTCTGCACCACTGTGGCATAGGCACTGGGAACAGAAGCCTCCTATTGTTCGATCTATCTATCTATCTATCTATCTATCTATCTATCTATCTATCCATCCATCCCAGATTGGCCTTGCCTGAGATCTTCCTGCTTCAGTCTCTTGACTAAGATTAGAGTCACACACCATCAAAACTTTCACTGGACTTCTTGATGGATAAGAAGCCATCTCTTGGCCATCCTGTTGTACTTTTTTCTGCTTCCCATTCAGCTCGGAAGGATGAATGCCTACAGTCTCAGCCCCCACAGCCTTCAGAGGATCCTTGCCCACCCTGCAGGTTCCCTGCTTCTGTTGATATCTCTGGAGACTTCCTGCGAATCACCATTTGGTCACTCCCTCTTAATTATTCACAATTACCCAAGTTCCCAGTCCTGTAATAAGCAGAAAGAAGGGTAGCATTTTCTAAGACATGTGTGTTTAGTGTTGCTGGCAGATTGGTAAACTTATTAGTGCCTCTGCACACCATATAATTAAGATCAAATTATCAGAGAGTTTAAAATAGTGCCTGCTGCAATTGTGCTGCTGAAAAGACTAAGGGAAATTTTGCCTTCTCAACTTATACCGTTTACCGTCGCCCTTTGGCTAAGATTTCCATTCTTAGTGCACAGAGAGCTAAGCAGAATGCTGCTCATAGCTTGGTGCAAAGGCACTTGCTTTCAGAAATATTACTTCTGTGCCAGGCATGGTTGCATACACCTGTAATCCCAACACTCAGGAGGCTGTGGCAGGAGGATTGGGAATCTGAGGCCAGTCTGGGCTACTTAGCAAATTCCAGGGTAGTCTTGGCTACACAGTGAGACCCTATATCAAAATAATAAGAGATGGGAACTGGAGGGATGGCTTAGCACCGAAGAACAGATACTTCTCTTCCAGAGCACCTGAGTTCGGTTTTCAGTACCCACATTAGGTAACTTACAGGTGTCTGTAACTCTAGGTTCAGGGGGATCCAGTGCCTCCAGACACCTCAGGTATTGGCAATTGCAATCATAGCCTACACACCCTACACACACACACACACACACACACACACACACACACACACACACATTAAAAATAATAAAAATAAGTCATAGGACCTAGAGAAATCAGTCAGGAAGGAGTTTGCTGTATACACATAAAGACCTGAATTCAGATTCCCCAGCACCCACAGCATATGCCAGGCACTGTGGCAAATAACTATATTCCCAGAGCTTGGGAGGTAACAACAGAACTTGTTTGGCAGGCTGGCCACCCTATCTGAACTGGTGATCTTCCTGCTCAGTGAGAGACCTTGTCTCAGAAAATAAGGTGGAAAGTGACTGAGGAAAATACCAGTAATGACCACCAGCCCCCCACATGCAAATGCACATATGTGCATGTTCACCTGAATGCACCATACACAGGAGGGGGAGAGGCATGGGGAGTGTGTTAGGAACATCAGAAGTCAGGGGACATATTCTTGGTCATCTACTGTTGCACCCCTAGAAGGGTCCTGCAGGTGAGTCAGCAGATGCAAGTCTGGACAGAGACTAAGGTAGATACTGAGATATGACTGGTTCTTGGTGAGGTTATCCCCAAAGCGGCCAGAGTAGGTTCTTCAGGAAGGGACTTACAGGTGTATGTTATCATCGACACCCGGAACCATGAGCAAACAAATGAAGGCAAGAATGCCTGCACTGGGGACCTGGGGAGAGCTAGCTGTACAACAGGAAAGGAGAGCCCAGGCAGATACACAAGCTGAGCACAGCAAGGCGAGACTCTTCTGGGCCCTGAGTTTAACAACATAGTCTCTTTTCCTAGGGATTTAGTCAAGGGGAAAGAAGACAAAGAGGCTAAACCAAGTTGAGAGTGATGAGTGCTTAAGTCTGGGGTGCTGGCTAAACAGAAATGTGGTAAGTTTTCTGGTGGTCAGGTGTAGAGAGAAAGTTCTGGGGATGGGAACACAAACAGATTAAAAAGCCTGAGGTTATACAGGAAAGAAACAGGACAAGATAAAGTTCCAGGGATCCTCCTGCCTTCCTGTTTCCTCTGCCCCTGCCACACTCAGCCCTGGCGTCTATGAAGCTATCACCATGGGTTTTAGGAAGACATACGTCCACGTGGCTGAGAGCATGAGCTCAGTGTTCTAAGTTCATATCCTTGCTCTGCCGCCTACTGGTGCCTAGAATAGTGCCAAGCATACGGTGGAACATAAATGAGGGAGTGAGTCAATGGCAGAGTACTGGCTGTGAAACCCAGCAAACGGATCGTGCTGAGTTGCAGTGTCCTCCCTGTAAAACGGAGACGATGGGGACTCACAGGACTGCTGAGAGGATGGACAACAATGTGAAGCCCTTATATCAACTGGTGCCTCGATGGATTGGAGATGCACCCCTGCCCCAGAGGGAGAGAACCAGACAGTGGCATTCCCCCAACCCACGACAACATCACTTCTCAGCACGGCATGAGAACCACTTTCTTCCAACCATCTGGAGCAGAGGCTGAGCATGTAAAGGCATCCAAGAAGACAACTTGACCTCACTGAAAGCCAACTTAAAGGATCTTTAGAGAGAGACCTGTAGGACCCCTACTTGCTACTGGTTCCTCAAGGGGCAGCTGACCCATGCTAGTAGTTGGGAGGGCTGCACCATGATTTAGTTTATGAACCAAAATGTAGTCAACACGAGATGAGAGCCAAGGACATCAGGGGGAGGCTTCATGGTGGAGAGAAACACCTTGCAGCTGAATATATGACTCGATGACTCGGGAAAAGCTAAAGTCCTTTGATGGGGCAATAAACAGACTTCTGACACTGGGCACCAGAATTCCTCTTGGAGCCAAACTGTTTTGCATGAGTCTCTTGGTGCTAGAGAGTGATACTGGAGAAGCCTTGCATTGGTAACACTTAATGTGAATAAGGGATAAAGTAAGGGGAGAGGAAGAGAAATGGATGGTAAGGTTGGGCAAGAAAGGAATGGGAAGGCGAGATGTGAGCTTTATCCAGGAGATGCATTCCTTGCCCTCCCTGCGGATGCGTTCACAGCCCTCGGTGTCGCCTCTTTGCTTGGACTCTCACTGGGGTGTATCACTAAGTCTGCTCTCTCAGTTCAGCGATGCTGGTCAAATCCACATCTTCTTTCCACCACTGTTGCTCTATTTTAGCAACCCACCACTGAGTGCTCCCTGATGAGTGTCTTTCTATATTTCTCCCACCAGAGTCACGAACCAGCCTACAGAACATCACCAAAATGAACACTCCCATGAAGCGTGCTAGTGAGAAGCAGCAGACTGTAAGGACAAGAAGAATATAGAGGCTGCAAGGCGAGGCTTCCTGGTGTCCAGTCTGAGTCACCCTGCGATGAGCTGTCTGTGAGCCGGTCAAGTGCCTTAATCTCTGTTTGCCTTGCATGTTTCTCCTGTGAAATGGGAGTGATGATAAGAGTGCCCCAAACAGGTGCAAAGTAAGTGTGTGAACCACCTCTGGAATTAGGGATAAAAATCATAATTGTATTGACAGATATATAGTAGTCAAAGCCTTGAGCATACAGGCTGTGAAGAGGGTTCTTTTTTCTGGAGATTTTGCTAGAAGAGCTACATTATCACATCGGGAAAAGGAAACCATGATCCCCACCTCACAGTGAACAAGGCTGTCACACCAGATGGACTGCACTCCTAGTATGAAGAGCAATACAACAAAGACAGCAGAGAAAAAACAGTATAGCTTTATGACCTTAAATAGAGAAAAATAATTTTTTGAATATTAAAACAACAGCATTCACAAAACAATTGTGCAGAATGCACAAGAAATTGACACATTTTAGATACATTGCATTCAATGTAATCAATGTTGGATGATGGAGGAAGGTCATTGGTTAAATAAAAAGAGACTGCTTGGCCCTCATTGGTTAGAAGATAGGTGGGAGGAGTAAACAGAACAGAACGCTGGGAGGAAGAGGAAGTGAGCTCAGACTCCACAGCTCTCCTCTCGGGAGCAGACGCCTCAGAGAGATGCCATGCTCCCAGCTCCCAGGCAGACGCACGGGATGAAGCTCTGACCCAGGATGGACATAGGCTAGAATCTTCCTGGTAAGCGCACCTAGGGGCGCTACACAGATGATTAGAAATGGGCTAAATTAATATGTGAGAATTAGCCTAGAAGAGGCTAGATAGAAATGGGCCAAGCAGTGATTAAATGAATACAGTTTGTGTGTTGTTATTTCGGGCATAAGCTAGCCAGGCAGCCGGGGTGCTGGGGACGCAGCCCCGCCGCCCTTATTACAACAGTTGGGCATAATACACTAAAATTAAAAATGTCTACTCATCAAATGGCATTATTAAAAGAATAAAAATTGGGGTGATGAAGATAGCTCAGCAATTAGGAGCACTGGCTGCTCTTGTAGAGGACCCAGGTTCAATTCTTAGCACCCATGATGTGGTTCACAGCCATCCATGATTCCAGTTCCAAGGAATCCACCACCCTCTTCTGACCTCCACAGGCACCAGGCACACACATGATGCACAGACATACATGCAGGCAAAAACAATCAAATACATAAAATAAGCAAATCTAAAATTTTTGAAAGAATCCTGTATGACCCGTAGAATGAGAGAAGTGATTTGGAAAATGAATATCCCGGAAGTCTTTCATCAAGAATACATGAATAATTTCCTACAAGCCTATGCTTTCAAAAGACATTTTTTCAATAGGGAAACAAACAAAAGACTGTGTCGTCTCCAGAGGGACATTGCACAGAAAACAAGCCCGTGGGAAGGTGATAAAATCCCTTGGTCAGCAGGGAAATGCAAGTGAAAGCCAAAATGGGGTCTAGCCTCATGCCAATCATGGTGGCTAAAATTACAAAGGAAATATTAAGAACTGAGACCTAGAATTCTCGTACGTGGGTGTAAGAATGTGTGTAGCCGTGACGCTGTGCTACACTACTGTCCAGTACTTCCAAGCTGCACGTGTAGTCCACATTCAAAATAGACACATAGTCACCAAGAGCTGTTCGTAAGAATGTCTGTAGCTACACCGTCCACAAGAGCCAGAAGAAGATACACAGGGAAACGTACTTCCAGGAGCTGCTAGAGCAATGGTGGGTCACGACTCCTTTGGGGCTGCAGATCAGATATCCTGCATGTCAGATATTTACATTTCGATTCATAACAGTAGCTAAATTATGGTTATGAAATGGCAACGAGTTAATTTTGTGGTTGGGGTCACCACAACATGAGGAACTGTGTCCAAGTGTCACCGTGTTGGGAAGGCTGAGAACTGCTGTACCATGGAGCAATGAAAATGAGCGGATATAGCCATGCATAGCAACGTGGATAATTTTCATGTGCATAATGCTGCAGGACAAGAGGCTGGACTTGCACGAGCACATGCATTGTGATTATGTTCTTCTCAAGCAAGGAGGACAGCAGGTCTGAGAGCCACCAGGAGCACAAGTCAGGGAGCAGAGTGAGCCTCGGAGAAGGAGGCCAGCTTCAGCGAGGGGGGGACTGGGGTGGTGCCAACATAAGCAATGCTTCAGCCGCATCTCAAGGAGAGGCTGGGACTTGGCCACACAGAGAAGGAAGAGTGATGTTTGTGATTGAGGAGTGAGTAATGGGCTAAAAGGCCCTGAGGTTGCTAGGCAGTTTGGAGAAGGTGTTGTTGTTGTGATGGTCCAGGCGGGAGAGGGGAGGGGCAGAGAGAGGCAAGCAGTGAGAACGGCAGGCAGACACAGGTATGAGCCGGATGATCTTGTGGATGCTCTTGCAGTTCAAGAATAATTTAGCGAGCCGGGCAGTGGTGGTGCACGCCTTTAATCCCAGCACTCAGGAGGCAGAGGCAGGCAGATCTCTGTGAGTTAGAGGCCAGCCTGGTCTAAAGAGCTAGTTCCAGGACAGGCTCCAAAGCTACAGAGAAATCCTGTCTTGAAAAGCCAAAAAAGAAAAAAAAAAAAAAAAGAAAAAAAGAATGGTATCTGAAGCAGCCCAGATGAAGGGAGGGCATTACATGGACACTGTGCAGATAAAGTTCACTTTTGCAATTCCCCCCCCCCACTTGGAGATAAAAAAAAAGATGTAGAAAATGAAAAGAAAAAGAAGGAGAAAAAAATAAGAAAAAGAGAGACCAGGAGTGGAGCGTGGGCTTCAAACATGGCACATATGTTAATGTTACTTGGGTACTGAAACCAGTCTACACCTCCATCCTTTAGGTGAAAATTCATTTCCAACTGAAGAGAACAATTTAAAAACACGGTGTGAAACAATGAGCACATGAATCTGTTGTCTAAAAGGCCCCAACAGAATGTTTGCCTCGGCGAGCAGCCTTCTGGGGAGCTCAGCCAGCAGATCCCAGCTCCAGCAAGGATCTGTACTGTTCTAACGACGTGATTTGCAATGAGGAAAAAAAAAGTCCTTGCTTATCTAATGCATGCTTCTGAAGCTGCCTGGTTGGCAGGTGCTTAAGAGCATTGAACAGATGTCCGTCTGATGCACCAAAAGTCCTACATGTGCTCTGAAAGCACATATGCACTCAGTCTCTGCTAGAACGGTGGAGAAAATTCCCAGGAAGACAACGGAGGCTTCACACTTTTGCCTTGTTGGTGTCTTTCTTCAAGTGTGAAGCCTGTATTAGTGATTGCCCGGGGACCAGCACTGGGGGCTTGCTGACAATATCTACTTTGTCTCCTCCAAGCAAGACTAGGGTCAAGGGTCTCTCTCTCTCTCTCTGTCCCTTCCTCCCTCCCTCTTCCCTTTCCTTCCTTCCCTCTTTCCCTCTCTCCCTCCCTTTTTCTCCCTCTTCCTTCCTCCCTCTCTCCTTCTCTTTCTCTCCCTCTCTCCTTCCCTTTCTCTCTCTTCCTTCTTCCCTCCCTCCCTCCTTTTCTCTTTCTCTCTCTCTCCCCTCATGGGGTGTATGGACACGTGAGTGTGGGTTCCCTCACCCACCCCCCCTTGCAGTGTATGGATGTTTGGGTGTAGGTGTCTTCACCCATACTGACAGGTTTGGAGGTCAAAGGCTAAAATCACTGTCTCATCTCATTTATCTCTGCACCTTATTTTTTTTTTAGCAAGATCTCTCAATGAACCCCAAGCTCATCATTTTGGCTAGATTAACCATCTACCAACCCCCAGGATTTTTCCGCTCTTTCTACCCAAGAGAACATGATGGAAACAGAGAGGAAGCACATGGACACCCCACAGTTGGGTCAGTGGGACTGCCCATTGTATCTTTCTCCCCATACCTCACCCCAGCCAGTTTCTGGATAACTTTTAAAAGCCCTGAGATGAGATGTTTATGGAATCGCATCATTGGAAACCTGTTTCTGCAATATAAGACGCTGGCTTCCTTCTCTTACTCTCCCATCTGTGAACCTTCAAGAAAACTTTCTAAGCACACCCTCCTGTTGCTCATGAGTTTCATCATTTGAATCCATGAGGTAAGAACCCAGAGGCTACTGACTCCGGAAAGTGTTAAGTGCATCTGAGCGGCCCACATCCTAATTCCTGAGTTAAGTTCTGCCAGAGACAAAAGAGAATACTTGCATTGAATTCAAAGGCACTCTACTCTTCATAGATTCCTATCATTTGCATATAGTTTGTTTCCAAAATCTATGTATCAGAGGTCTGCACCCTGTGTCAGAGTGTTGGGAGGTGGTAAAACCTTCAAAACGCAGTTAAACCACAGCGCTTCACTCCCAGAGAGGGATTAGTGCAGCACCATAAGGAGTAGGTTAGCTACCTGGAGAACAGGTAAAACCTGGGCAAACCTGGCACCCTCTCTCACTTTGTTCCTCTGTGTGAAGGTGACTTCTTGTGAACATTTTCCTCCTGGCTCCTCTGCTCTCCTGCATTATGGGGGTGGGAGAAAGACAGAAGGAAAGAAAGACTGTCTCATGAACTACCCAGCCTCCAGTGTTTGATTATGACAACAGAAAATGGCCTAAGGCATGCCCGAAGACACAGTATCACTCTGGACTCATGGTATGTAACGTAGGAAAGAAAAATTTGCTTCATGGAACTTTTGTCCCCATCAGAGAGGTATTCCCAAGATTGGCCCCCAGAAGCACTGATGGTCTACCAGAGGCCTTCCATCTGGGCTGCAGAGAGGGTTCTTGGTGACATTGGTTGAAACACATGTGTGGCTGAGCTCTTTGGAGATCGTATGAGTGCTTCTGTAGCTCGGACAGGCGTTCCTGCTCAGCATTTCCCTTTCATTATTAATCCCCACATCTGTGGAATTGGGGTAGAGAGCTTTCTGTTCATCTGCTTTCTCATGTGCTTGTCTGTAAGAAGGTTCTCCCCAAACCACCCAGGCTGATCTTGAGCTCCCAACCTGCTCCCTCAGCTTCCCGGTGCTGGGATCACAGACCTGTGCCACCACCCCCAACTCAGAGATGACACCAATCACTTCTTACCTGGGGCTGAGGGTCAAGATGACTTGAGACACAGAGGCAGATCCAGGGAAAATGGGACACATAATTATGCAGATACAGATTTTGTATCTTAGGTGAGATTCCTGGTTGTTTAAATCGTGTCTCAGTAAAATGTCTCAAGTTGGGTTTCTGGCACCTCCTGTGATCATCTTATGAGATATAAAAGCACACAGAAAGAAGATTCTAACATCTAAGATTAGCTTAGATTGTGTCCCCATCTGCTGTGGTCCTGTAATTGTGTGAGATGGGACGGTCCTTGGAATGGGTCTGAAGTGTGAAAACACATCACTATGGTGCTGCTTTGGAGACCTGTAGTCTGCCAGTTTGGCTGTTTGTTATTGTTGTGTGGCCTGCTCCTAGAAAGTCCAATCCTGGGGCTCTGCTTTGAAAGGTTAGATGAGGAGAGGGTGGGCTGGGAAGGGCTGGATGTGGTGTTTTTCTGAGGCTACCCTATGGTGGTAAGACTGACTTGCAACCCCCTAGGGTTACAGTTTAGGATGTTTTATCTTCTCCAAATTGAATGATAAAATTTAACCCCATTAAGATCCAGGAAAAGGGGAGAACCTTTAAAGAGATGAATGGGTGGGCCATGCTCACCCAGAGCAGCTTTTTTGATTTGTTTTGTTTTGTTTTTCAAGATTGGGTTTCTCTGTAGTTTTGGAGCCTGTCCTGGAACCAGCTCTTGTAGACCAGGCTGGCCTCACCCAGAGTAGCTTTTAATGCTGTAAAATTATAAACTTCAAATGATTTTGAGGGGTTTTGATGTTTGCTTGTTGTTTTTCGTGACTGTTTGATGTAGGTGGGTCTTCTTTCTACCTGTTGTTTTCATTGGTTAATTAATAAAGAAAACTGCTTGGCCTGATAGGTCAGAACATAGGTAGGCAGAGTAGACAGAAGAGAATGCTGGGAAGAAGGGAAGTTAGGCAGACTATATAGCTCTCCTCTCCAAAATGGACGCAGGTTAAGATCCTTCCCGGTAAGCCACCTCCTCCTGGTGCTACACATATTATTAGAAATGGGTTAATCGAGATGTGAGAATTAGCCAGTAAGAGGCTAGAGCTAATGGGCCAAGCAACGTTTAAAAGAATACAGTTTCCATGTAATTATTTCGGGTGTAAAGCTAGCCGGGTGGCGGGACACAGCCCGCCGCTCTTTCTACAACTGTTGAGTAATTTGGAGGCTTGAACTTTGTAGATGACAACATTGGGTTGTAATGTCAAAGGTCAGACATGTCTGGGCCCCATCAGATTGATGGATATCTCAAAGTGAAGCCACTTAGGCCAGTCTCTGGTGCAGCCTTCGGGTCTAATCACATGATGACCTGCCCCACCCCAGGACTCTGGTCTGTCATTGGATAGAACTCCTCCTCTGTGAAGCATAGCCCTATGCTAAAGTAACCCCACCTTTTTATCTATAACTGTCCCAGGCTGAGGCATTGAGCTTATTAACAACAGAAAACAGAAGGAGATGATCACTTCTATCTCAGAGTCCCGTTCAGCATTGCCCAGGGGCTTGCTGGAAGCTCCAAGTCTGATTTTCCAGAGGCCACAGGGGAGTGTCCCACCCATGGAGGCTTGAGAAGCACCCCCATCAGGGTGACTGCAGGCACTGGAAAAATCCTGGAGACAAAATGATGATCTCGCTGTTGGGTCGAGCTTCATGGAGAAGGTGAGGTCTTAGAAGATATGGAAGTATAGAGAGAAAACCTCTGCCCTTCACAAAGAAGCTAAGGAGGCCAGAGCAACTCAGGGGTGCATGGGAGTGGAATAACCATATTCTGCATCCCCCATTTTCCTGAGAGATGGAACACACATTTGCCTGTCGGTGTGTTGTTGCTTTCACATGTGGGCATCTGCCTGGGAGTCACTGACGGACACTTTGGTTCACACTACTCAAGTTTCTACTCAACCAAGGAAACAGGCTACCTGGTGCCAGAGAAAGTCTGGAGGTACCTGTTGGTTGGGCCTGGATCCAGCCATGAATGCAATCCTTTCGCTACCCTGGACTGTGTGGCTCTGGGAAGGTCGGGGGAGTCAGTGGGCTTTTGTTTGCCTCTTCTGTGAAACATCAGTGACTTTTGTCTTACCAGCTGCTATGTGTCCCTCTGGAATAGACATTTGCAAACCCTCTCACTTCACTAGTCTAGAATGAAAACCACCAAGGAATAGTTTTAAAATACCTACCTCTTTGGCCGGAAGACAGCTCTCAGGAGAGTGAGGCAAATGGTTTGCCTGGAGTTCAAGGTCAGCTTGGGCTGCAGGGTGAATTCCAAGACCATCTAGACTGCAGAGTAGGACCTTGTTTCAAAATAACAGCAGCAACAACATCAGACCACTCTAATGCCTGACCTGAGACTTAATGGAAAATTGAAATGACAGTAGACTGTAATGAAATCATATGCATTTGAATATGTAAACACTTGAGAAGTCTGTTCACCCTGTCTTCTGCTTCCAGTGAGTTAGCACTTTGACAACAGGGGACCTCCTGACCCTGGAGGAACATCCTTCACTGACTCGGTCAATTTCTAGACATAGTAAGCCAGTTACCGAAGAACCAAGCTAACTTTTCATTTACAAACCACCCACACTCCAACCATCCCTAGGCCACTGTGCATTTGTCCTGACCATCTAAGACCAGGGACCATTCAACTGGTGGCAGTCCCCAAGCCTCAGAGCCTGTTAACAGTATCTACACTAGCAGACTCTGAACAAGCATCTCGCCTTCCCAATTTCTCCCCATAGAAACCATAGTGAAAGCCTTGGACCCAAGTCCCTTCCCTCCCTCTGTCTCGTGACATTGTGCCAACCTCCTCCTGTAGATTGCGATAACAAAGGCTCTTTCAAGGACAGTCACTGATCTGGTAGCCTCACTATAATCTCCAATTTTCTAGTATGTTTTTACATGTTCATTTATTTATTTGCATGATTTGTGTGTGTGTGTGTGTGTGTGTGTGTGTGTGTGTGTGTGTACATGAAGGCAGGAAGGTGACTGACATCAGGTGTCCCCTCAGTTGCTTGCCCTCTTATATCTTTGAGACAGGGTCTCTTTCTGGTTAGCCAGAAAAACCTAGGGATCTTCTTATCTCTACCTTTCCAGTGCTGGCATTAGAGGTGTCCCTCTCTTTGCCCACTCCGTGAAACCCAACTTTCCTGTGGGTTTGGGGATCGAACTCAGGTCCTTACACTTGTGTGTTGAGCACTTTGCTGACTAAGCACTCTTCTGAGCTCTAAGTATAGTTTGCTTTTAATTTGTTGTTTGTTTTTAGACAGGGTCACACAATATAGTCCTGGCTGGCCTGGGACTCACTATGTTGGCCAGGTTAGTCTTGAACTCATAGACATCTGCCTGCCTTTGTTTCTGAAGTTCTTGGTTAAAGGCATGCACCTCTGCCCATGGTCATGTAGCAGATATGTTTTTAAACAGCCAGAATTAAATCATAGACTATAAGGAGATAGTTCTTGAGCCCATTTATAATCAATAACACTGAACAAGAGAATTCGGGAAATCAGGGGCCATTTTCTAGAGAGACTGTGATAACTATTCTTGATTATCAACTTGGCTACATCCAGAATTAAAAACTCCAAAATGGCTGGGCACATCATTGAGGAAGTTTTGCTTAACTGAATCATTTTAAGTGGGAAGATCCACTTCTAATCCAAATCTTTGAGGTGGGAAGACATACCTTTAATCTAGAGCAGTGGTTCTCAACCTTCCTGATTCTGTGACCTTTTAATACAGTTCCTCATGTTGTGGTGACCCCCCCCCCCCCAGCCATAAAATTATTTGTGTTGCTACCTCATAGCTATAAATTTACTACTGCTATGAATCATAATGTGAACATTTTTGGAGATAAAGCTTTGCCATGGGGTCAAGACCCACAGGTTGAGAAACACCGGTCTACATCTTTCAAGTGAAAACCCACATCTAATTTGACCACATCTTCTGCTGGTAACCTATATAAAAGACATGAAAGAAAGAAGCTT